CCTGGCAAGGGATATCCATGCTTTCTGGCAGCCACTCAGGTTTATGCCCCTCTCGCCCTGACAGGTGGGTGGGAGACGAGGGACGAGGGGACGAGGAGGGAACACAAACTCAATCTGGAGATTCAATAGCAACGGAACTGAACTGAGGAGGTCGTTTTGGAGCGCAAGGGGTGCAGTGCGGTAGCAAGATGTAGCAAGGAATTTCAGGCTGTACAATAGACTAAGCTAAAGCGACTCACGATTTCCGTCTGGTGCCCGGCGGCCAGGGCAGCGATGTCACGGTCCAGCGCACAGGCACAGACCACCTCCTGGTACCTGCCCGCATCAAAGGGCTGCCCGAAAAGAATGTTCTCCATGACCGTTGCATTCAGAATCCACGGCTGCTGCGCTGCATATGCCACGTTCCCTAAACTGCTCACCCACATTGCGCCGCCCACATACTGCATCTCCTCTAGTATTGCCTGCAGGAGGGAGGACTTGCCGCTGCCCACCGCCCCTGTGACGGCCACTACCGCGCCTCTCTCCACTTGCATAGTCACTCGCTCCAGGTGGAACCCTCCTGCTGCAGCAGCAGCGTCTGCTGTCGTAGCAACAGCATCGGCAGAAGCAGCAGGCATAGCAAGCGAGGAACCAACCCCCTCTCCCTCCTGCTGTTGCCCCTTTTCCAATTCATTCTGCCTACCCTCCTGCAAGCCGTTCTCTTTGCCTGCCTCGCCATCACCTTCCTTGGCCTCTCCCTGCGTGCAATCTGGCTGAACGCTCCCAACAGCTCCATTCCTCTTCTCCTGCGCTTTCTGAGCGCCAAGCCTTCTCCTCCACAGACCTCTGGCGCCTTTCCCCTTGCCCCCCTCTGCTTTCTGCTGCTGCTCTGTGCGGGAGGGAAGCTGCTGGGCAGTGGTGGGCGGCAGCTGCCAGGAGAAGGAGGCGTCTTGGAGCGCCACAACCACGCCCTTGCTCTCTGCCTCTGGCCTCAACTGCACATGGTATTGATTTTGAGAATTTCGGATCGGTATGGGGATCACTGGGACATAAGTGACACAAGGAAGAGATCTAAGTCGCAAAACAGGAGATTCGAAAAAGTATTTCCTTTCTGACTGCCATCCATCCCTTGCCTCCCACTGTCACCCACCTCCGCCCTCTTATCGTCCGGGCAGCCGCCCTGCCCATCGGGCAGCGCGAGAAACTTCTCCAGGCGATCAACGGCGACGACGGCTTCCCCGGCGAACTGGAGGCCGGTGGGGGCGATGAAGAATATTCGCACCATGATGCTGAACAGCGCCAGCACTGCAAAGGCCGTCTGGGGTGGCAGGTCGCCGTTTATCGCCACGTAGATGCCAAATGTGGCTAGAGACGCTAGAGGAGTGACGGAGTCCTGGTGGAGGGGTTGGCGCACAGAGGCAGAGCGGGAAGAGGAGAGGGGAGGGCGGTGGGGGCGATGAAGAAGATGCGCACCATGATGCTGAACAGCGCCAGCACCACGAAGGCTGTTTGAGGGGGCAGGTCGCCGTTTATAACCACGTAGATTCCGAAGGTGGCGAGCGATGCCAGGGGTGTGACGGAGTCCTGATGGAGTGAGTGGCGGATGGGGGAGATGTGAGTGTGGAGAGCTGAAAAGGTTGCAGAGCCACATAGCCGTCAAATGTGGATAGGGAAGCGAGGGATGGCATGGGCGTCATGGGAGGGCAGCGAGGGATGGTCGAGAAGAAAAGAGGCGTTGCACCCCACGACCCCACCAACCAGGCCAGGCCAAACGAGACCAACCTTGAGTGTGGAGTTGACTGATCGCACGTACGCCGCCCGGCGCAGCCACTGTAGCTCGTTGTCTCGTAGTGCGCGAATGCGGTCCAGAAAGGCAGCAGTCCAGCCGTTGACCTTGACCACGCGCATGCCAGATAGCACCTCCCCCAGCAGCCGCACGCGTGCATCCGTGAACTTGAGCGCCTTGGGCCTCAATGCTGCGACTCTCTTCGCCATCCACACCTGGTGCATGGGGTAGCGAGGAGGCAGTCTGTTTCTTGTGCATTGACTGAGCTCATTTGCACAGCACAGCCACCTCCTTCACACAGCACGCCAGGCATGGAAGCAAGCAACTCTCTGAAGCACAGCTATATTCCCAAGTGGGACACTTCATTCACAATGAAGAGAACAGTCTGAGTCGTATAGAGAGCATGCTGATGATTCAGACTCGTGACTCACGATGAGTGGTTGGATGAGGAACACGACTGCCACGCCCCCCAGTGCTGCCACTCCCGCCTCCACTATGACCAACGCACAGATGACTGTCAGGTCCAGCACTGCCAGCCACACTGCACACGGGGAAGAAGAACAGAGAGAGAGGGGTGGAGGAGGAAACACATGTAGCATTGTTCTAAAACGGAAATACGGAGATAGGAACTGGTAGCAAGCATATGGCTGTCAGGTATAACACTGCCAGTCACAATGGTGTGGGGAAAGAATGGGCGGGGGAGAGGGGAAGGGGTGGTGGCGTACCATAGTGGAAATACGTGATGGCATCTAGGAGCTTCTGTGTGTCATTGGTGATGAGGTTCAGCATGCGCCCAGATGTCGCCTCCCCCAGAGCCACCTGCTTCATTCCCAACGCCTGCACATGCCACCCAGGTGCAAGAAATCAAATGCCAACAGGACGTGTCAATCTATTTTAACTCTCCAATTATGTCAGTAAAAAACGCTGTCCAACGCACAGGTCAGATTAACGTGCACACACGCACCTTATGGTATACCACCATGCACACGCACACACCTTGTGGTATACCACCACGCATATGCACTTCGTGGTGTGGTATACCATCATGCTCAGCACACGCACACACCTTGTGGTATACCACCGTGCACACGCATGCTCGCACGCGCATGCCGGCCTTCTGGGAGCGAGTGAAGCAGTGGTGCATGCACACGCTCTGCAGCGTGGACGTCACCGCCATGCCCACCACCAGCAGCGCCGCCCTCCACGCCTCTGGCGGTTCGGGCGCTGCTGCTGCTGCCACCAGCTGCTTCAGCACGTACACCTGCATAATGGAGAGGAACAGGCAAGAGGGGTAGCTTTTGAATCACAAAAGGCACTTGGCCTCACAACAGCTGGCAAGCCAGCGTTTGAGAGATTTAGCTGAACCAAGAGACGCCGCACTTGGGTGCGCTTGTGTCCCTTTTGCTCGTTTTGTCGTTGCGATGAGAGTTGAGCAGGCGCACGCACCTGGGTGCAGACGGCGGCGAGCCAGATGGGCTTCCACACGGCCGCCACGAAGTAGTACCGCCCGAACGCACGAGCCAGCACCCGCCACACGCGCCCCACCCTCCGCCTCCCGCGCTTCCTCCCCTCCTCAACCCCTTGAGACAGCCCCGTCTTTTCCGCGTGTGCTTGCTCGAGGGCGACCTCTGTCTGCCATGCACGGTTCCAGCAGTCCACGCTCTGCTGCGTCGACTCCACCGGGTTTAGCTCGTACAAGTCGTCCTCCTGTCAGGTTCGGGTGCAGCATGATGAAAGATTGAGCGCGACGACAGGTTCGGTCCAGATACTGCCGAACGGCAAGTTCGAATTCAGATAGACGACAGGTTTGGATTCAGCAGGACGAGCTACGGCGTACTCCGCAAATAAATAAGAACGGCGGTTTGGGACATACGGACGCGAGGACGAGATCTACCATGATTCACGCAATTGCGCGGCCGTCTCGGGATTTAACCGCGAATCATGCGACCTATATCTGTTTCTATCACGGTTAGTGACGTGACTGATCGTTATCCTGGAGGTTGTGAACCGGGAACGTGAGAGGGACGAGCTACCTGCACGACTTTGCGGTAGCCGTAGTGCATGAACGGAGCGATCCAGGACCAAAAAAGAAAGCTCGGCCATGACGCCGATAGCTCGGGAGAAGGTCCTGCAGTGGGAAATCCCTTTCCTTCCCTGTTGAAGAAGCTGTCGCCCGCCGCTGTCGCGTCGGATTCGACATCACCATCTGACATTGCTCGCGGTCTCTCAGACGAGAATGATTTTCAGAGAGATTTATGCTTTTAGGCCGAATGAGCGGATTTAGAAGGCTCTGCAAGAAGCCATAACGCTACAAACTGTCAACGACTATTCAGCGCGTGATGGGCCATTGATGGGCCTGAAAGCCAAAGCTGGCCATTGAAAACGGACGAGCCGAGGCGAGGCTTTGACGAACGATTCACGCCACTCCTCCACGCTAATCCGTCAAAAATCTTTGAAGAAATGGTTCTGTGAAGGTGAGACGGCTTTTCATGCAATCCTCCAGCCCAGAACGTAGAGCTCTCTTCCAAACTTCACCTTGAAGTTGGTGCGAAAAGGAGGCGTGGAAGGAAAAGAATGGCAGCTGGCAGAATGGATTTGCGGCTGTGATGGATGATGAGAGTGGTGAAGGGGGGAAGCACAGCCAATCCCGAGGCTGATCATCCCAAGGCGCGAACGACGGAAACTGCCTGCGAAAGTGGCGACAAGCAGGAAAGATTCGTCTTGCAGCAGAATTTCCCTGCCTTGTCGTTTCGCAAATGGAGAGGGCGGCTAACTGTGCAACGTGGCATGGTAGCCGAGTCTGGCGAGAATATTGTTACCAGACATTCGCGAGCCAGCTCCTCGCACCTGCGTAACGCGGCAGTACAAGACCCGTTGCAAACACAAAACTCCTCTCCAGCCATTCCAATAAACGCTGTAATCTCGTATACGTAGTTGATTTCTATGTTCCATTTTCACCTGGACGACATGTTGAGATCACCAACTGATGCACTTGTGTGAGGATCTTCCATTCCATCCATCCCATCAGCTGCAGAACCTAGAAATTGACATTCCATTGATGGTGCGCTTGTGACTCAAGACAGCAACTAGCTGACCGCTCGATATGACCAGCCGCGGCTAATGAGAACGGGAGCTTCGTCTTGAAGAACTTTGGCTATCTAGACTGAGTTTCGTCATCTTTTTGGTTCCAAGTATCGTCAACCGTTCCGCAATCACTCCGCTTTCGCTCTTCGCCATGTCGTTAAAGGCATGTCTTGAAAGTCATGCGGTGGGCGAGCTCGTACGCGCTAAAGGCATCATGGTGGACGTGCCGCATAGTGCACCAGGTATCTTATGCTCATATGCGGACTGGTTTGCGTTTGCAAAAAGTGACCGTTATTTTTTTTTCCTCCCCAGTTGTTTTCACATCTCGCTTAATTGCGCGACATTACTTATCTTTGTTTATCGTGCAAATTTTCTTAACTCCGCTCCGCCATTCCCTCCTTCCGCACCGTCACCCGTCTTCCCGCAACTCCCAGTAATCCCTTGCGCTCCCCGCTCTCCGCACCCCCCTCCCCCCCTTCCCCTCTCCCCCGCGCGGCAGTGCGCGATGCGCTGCAGCTGATGCGCATGCACGGCATCTCCGCGCTGCCCGTGTGGGCTCCGCCCAACGAGTGGGTGGGCGCGGGGGGTTCCTCCATCATGGTCACCGACGGCAGCACCAGCGGAAGCGGAAGCGGAAGCGGGGGCGCAGGGTCAGGGACCGGCGGGTCGGAGGTGGTAGAGGCGAGCGAGGAGCGCGGGGGAGCGGGGGAGAAGGGCGCGGGGGCGGGGGCGAGCGGGGGAGCGGGCGCGGGGAGGGCGCGGAGGCAGTACATCGGGATGGTGAGCGTGCTGGACGTGCTGATGCACTTCGCGCAGTCGTCCGCGCGCGACGACCCCACGTGGGCGCTCGACGTGCCCATCTCCACCCTCATTGGCCACTGCCTTGAAGGCCTCTCCTGCTGGACCCTCCCCTTCCACCTCTCGTAAGCGCCCCGTCCCCCTTCTCCTGCACCCACCTCTCCCTTCCTCCACCCTTCTGCCCCCTTCTGCTCCCTCCTGCCCACTCCACTCGTGCCCAATCGTGGCCACTCCTGACCATCTGTCATTCCCCTTTCCCCGTTCCTCCTCCCCTCCCCCAGAGTGCTGGACTCCTTGGAGCCAATGAGCAAGGGCGGGCACCGGGTGCTGCATGTAGAGGTGCTTGTTTAGAAGTTGCAGATTCTCTTCTCACCCACTCCCCCCCTCCTCCCCTCCCCCTCCCCCAGAGTGCTGGATTCCTTGGAGCCAATGAGCAAGGGCGGGCACCGGGTGCTGCATGTAGAGGTGCTTGTTTAGAAGTTGCAGGTTCTCTTCTCACCCACTCCCCCCCTCCTCCCCTCCCCCTCCCCCAGAGTGCTCGATTCCTTGGAGCCAATGAGCAAGGGCGTGCACCGGGTGCTGCTGCCACTGCCATCCGCGGACCGCCCCCCCTCGGGCCCCATCGTGCCGCTCTCCGTGGCCACTCACGGCGGCTTCTCCCGCGGCCTCCTCACCACCGGCTGTGCCCCCGCCTACACCATCCTGAACCAGGTGCATTGCATTGTCAACCTCCTGCCGCTTCTCTCACCTGGTAACGAATAACTTTCTATCAAGGGAACTGTCATGAGAAAAATTGTTTTCATGTACTTGGCTACTCATACCCGTTCTCTTGCCTGTTATGTATCGAGGATATTCACACATGAGGATTTTTTTGGTTTTCTGTTTCTCTGCCCTATGTGTTCTTATAAGGAGAGGAAGAGTGATGCCGTGGTGATCAAAGCCATACCCTGTGTCCGGCTTGCACCATGCCATTCTCTCGCAGGTGGATCTGATCAAGTTCATGCAGAGTCAGGTGGCCTGCATTCAATTCATGCCTGTATCCGGCCTGTCCTATCGCCTCCTCTCGCAGGTGGATCTGATCAAGTTCATGATAGCTGAAGCACAGGCAGAGACAGGTGGGCAGCACCACCACTTCAAGTCCACCAGCAGCAACGGCTCCACCACCGCCACTGCCACACCGTCCTCCTCTTCCGCTCCCCCTGCTGCCACGGGCAGTGGCAAGTCTCTAGCAGAGCTGCTGCAGCTGTCAGTGAAGGAGGCGGGGGCGGTGCATGGGACGGTGTTTGCGGTGCCGGCGAGCATGAAGGTGCTGGACGCCATTCGCTGCATGCAGCAGGCGGCTGTGGCTGCTGTCGCCGTGCTCGAGCCCACGCCCGATGACAAACTCGACGACCCCATGCTCACCTTTGTACGTGCTGTGCTGCTTGCTTTTGAGTCGATTCAGAACATGCTGGATGCCATTAGCTGCACTGCATGCAGCAGGTGTTAGATGACCCCAAGCTCACCTTTCTTGTAAGTGCTGCTTGCTCATGATGCCAGCTTAGCTGCACTGCACTGCACTGCACTGCACTGCACTGCACTGCACTGCACTGCACTGTCCCTTGGCATCACTTCTACCTTGTGCACGCCTCCACCCACTGTTGACCCCTTTTGCTGCTGCCCATCTCTGCATCTGTTTCCCCTACTACACCTACTTCCTCATTACCACGTTGTCCTTTCATGTTGCCCTCAGAACCCACCGCTCCTCCCTCATCTCCGCCCCCCCTCCCCACCTTCATTTTGCCACCAGGGCCAAGGGCGTTGCGTGGTGGGCACGTTGTCTGCCAGCATCCTGCGCGCCTGCAGTGAGGAAGCAGAGCTCACACCACTATGTGCACTCCTCCCTTCCCACCCCCCCATCCACCCCCTTCTCATCATGCCACCAGGGCCAAGGACGTTGCCTGGTGGGCACGTTGTCCGCTAGCGACCTGCGCGCCTGCAGTGAGGAGGCAGCGCTCACAGCACTTCCCCGTTTGACCGTTGGTGACTTCCTAGCCACTCTTTCTGTCGCTCAAGACGTCGGAATTTCCGCCGCTTTCAGCCCGTACGCCCCTCCCCCCGCCCTTGCTACTCTTGCGTCAAACTCCCCGGCGTCGTCTCCCGCTCGCATGTGCGAGGCGAGGTCCATGGTTCCGATTACTTGCCGAGAGCATTCCCGGCTAGGCGTGGTTATGTCCCAGGCGATTGCTGGGCGCGTGCATCGAGTGTGGGTGGTTGCGGATGATTCGTCAGGAATTCTTGTAGGCGTGGTAACCTTGTCGGACATTCTGCGCTGCATAAGAGAGCACGCTGAAGGGGAGCGATAAGGTTTGTCCTGGGGATTAGGATGGTGTGCTATGCTTCGAGGTGTAGGAAAATGAGATCGACGAAATTATGTATTCTACTTTCTGTATTTGCGAAAGTTGAATCTCAAAATTGAAGTGGTGATCAAAGCCGAAGCCGCTCTGAGCGAGGACTGTTCCGCCACCTACTCGGAAGGGGGTCTTGGAAGTCTCGAGAATCTCGTGGCCAAATTCTGAGGCTTCAAACAGCCTGTCTTGTGCATGGCTCGCCTCGGCCAATAGCCAGCTGTGCTGACGGCATGGCGCAAATCCGCCTAGAATTCTCCACTTGGCGTGGAGTCCGTAGACTCGCTCGCCATACGTTTTGGCGGGCTGAAAATGTGTCGGTGACAGATTTGGCTGAGCTGCCTTTTGACGGGAATTCCAGCATTCTCCCGGTTCCCGACGCAGCGCCACGCGTCTGACCAATGACAGGCATCCAGTGACCAGCTGCAGCGTGGGTTGACGCGCCGCAGGGCAGCCAAAATCGGTGCAGGTCCGAAGGGTCGGCGAAGGTCCATTTCTGACGGAAGGTGCGAGACGGATCCAGATGGAAGGGAGGTTGGCCATTCGGGTCTGTCGAAGCCAGGCCAAGCGAAATGAAACCAGGGTTCGCGAAATAGACGACACGAGCCGTCAGTGATGTCACGAAGACTTTGGTGGTGGTTTCCGCCGGCCCTTCCAGTCGACGTCACCTCCACGCTTTCGTCCTTCCCACAGCAAAAAACATTTCGCCAGGGGCAGAATCCATTGCGTGAGGTGGAAGCGAAGAAAGTGACCGCGACTCGGCACTGTGGGCGCATGAAATCGAATTGGCGCACATGGGAATGGGAAGCAGGGAGGGCACGCCACGAATTGGGGCACGAGGTGAAAAGACGTGTGAGTGTATGGCGAAGTGTATGCGTGCATGGGGCACAGCGAAAGGATGAGATAAGGGACCTCTGTGAAGCATAGAAGCCCAGGCCCCAAACGTCACGTGCATTGTGCTGGATCCTACGTCTTCCTCGTTCCTCTTGCTTCCTCCAGTGTCAAACCCTACTAGTCTGTGCTGCTGGATAAATCTGCTGTTGCAGGGTTTGTTTCTTCATCTGTGAGTTCTTGAAACAGCTCTACTATATCTGGCCTACCAATCTACCGCATTACCTCGCATTCAGCGCCTAGTTTATTTTAGCACTCACTTCGAAATTAACAGCATTCTTCCGCATTTCGCTCGTTCATCCGTTCTAGCTTAGCGCCAATGGCGGAGATAAAAACATCGAGTAGGTGCCCCAGCTGGGTTCCAGAGCTCCTCAGCGGCCATTACTTCTCTCCGTGCCGCCAACACGCCGCGGCGCACAAATCAGAGCGCAACTTCTTCTGCATCAAATGTCGCGGCGACCCTCTCTGCTCGCTCTGCGTGCAGAAACACCACGCCGGTCCAGAGCACGACATTCTGCAAATCCGCCGCTCGTCGTACCACGACGTCGTGCGCGTCGGCGAGCTCTCGCGACTTCTAGACCTGCACCACATTCAGGTGTACGTGATAAACAGCGCGAAAGTGGTTTTTATTAATCCGCGGCCGCAGTCTCGCGTGGTTAAAGGCGCGCCGTTCTTCTGCCGCACGTGCCACCGCACATTGCTCGACGCCAGCCGATACTGCTCCATTGGCTGCAAGCTCGCCGCATTGCGCCACGACCCCGCGCTCACATTGCGCCCGCGGGGGGGAGGCACCGCGGAGCACGCAGCGCGGCCGGCTGCGGGACATGGGCATTTCGGGGCCAACGCGGGCGTTGACCGGCCGGCGCGGTCTGGGGACGGGTTATCGGACGACGACTCAGGCACGTGGTCGGCGGGGCACCGGCGGAAGGAAGGGGGAAGCGATTGGCGGAACGAGTGGCGCAAGCGCACATTGCCCCCTCTGTTGATGGAAGATAACGACGCGGCGAGCTCGGGGGAGAGCGACGAGGGGCGCGGGGAGGAGGACGGGGACGAGGGGGTGTCCGCGGACTGGCGGAGGGGCGGCGGAGAGAAGGAGAGGAAGCGCGCGCGCTACGGCAAGGTGAATGGCGCGGAGTCTCTGCGGTATCCGGAGCTGGTTGGCGCGTCGTCCCCGGTGTTCTCCCCTGTGACTCCGCCGCTGGCGTATCAACATGAAGGCAGCACCGGCTCCCCCTGGCGCGCGCACAGGCGGAAGGGCGTTCCGCACCGTTCCCCCTTGTCTTGAATTCAAATATGGAGCAGCAAGGCGACAAAGGAATGCCTCGAATGCCTGATTTAAAGGCGTGCGCGGCATGGGCTTCTGAATCACCAAGAACAAACGCTGGGACTTGCTTGCATGCCCGTATACAGGGCTTGGCGACTCTGTTTTGTGGCCAGCAAACCTCGTGCAACGGTTTACGTTTATCTAGGGTTGCTTTTACTCCGTGCCAGGGTGTTCCCTGTGTGCGGCTGTGCATAGTAGAGCTCGTAGTAGTTTACCTAAGACACATACTGACTAGTCCAGAGGTTAGGATACAGCTATAGGACATGTGTACATATGTTTTTTTGTTACCACCTCTGTAACGAGTTGTTTCCAAGACTCTCTGACTTGTCCTGTTTGCGTTGCATTGCATGAGCTCTGTTACGAGTTCTACTAAACAGAGTGCGCGGAAGACTTTATAAAGAAGACGTGATTACAGAATTACTCAATGCTCCAAGAATGATAAATGATCACGCATTTATAGGGTCGAAAACCGTGCTAGGCGAGGACCTCGGGACGTGGATAGTTTGGATGTGTCGCGATTGGTGCGGGGCGACTCGGCATTGGTTCGGTACGGAAATGTAGGCCGAGCCACCTGACGCGAAGTGCTCGGGCTGTACCCCTTAAGGCAAGGCTACAGTAAGGAATTGGCAAATTCCTTACACTCTCCCACCTTCTAGATAAGGTCCCCTTTGTCAAATGTTGTAGCCTGTAGTGAGGTTTGTCTTAGGGGGTACAGAAGTTAGGGTTTGTCATATGTACCCCAACCAACATCAATGCAACATCCATTCCTCATTCTGACATGGTATCAGCTAGGTTAGGATCCTGTGGGATCCCGTTCCTCCGTTCTCCGTTCGTACCTCCCGAGCCTGATCCTACCTCTCGTTCGTACCAGTTTAGTTGTTACCGCGCCTAGTACCGAGCCTAGAGTCATCTCCCCCGTCGCGTCACGCCCGTTCCCCCCCGTCGCGTCGCGCCCGTTCCCCCCGTCGCGTCGCGCCCGTTCCCCCCGTCGCGTCGCGCCCGTTCCCCCCGTCGCGTCGCGCCCGTTCCCCCCCGTCGCGTCGCGCCTGTTTCCCCCGTCGCGTCGCGCCCGCCTGTTCCCCCCCCGTCCCGTCGCCCTGTCCCGTCGCGTCGCCCTGCCCTGTCCCGTCGCCCTGTCCCGTCGCGTCGCCCTGTCCCGTCCCGTCGCCCTGTCCCGTCGCGTCGCCCTGTCCCGTCCCGTCGCCCTGTCCCGTCGCGTCGCCCTGTCCCGTCCCGTCGCGTCGCCCTGTCCCGTCCCGTCCCGTCCGTCGCCCTGTCCCGTCGCGTCGCCCTACCCCGTCGCGTCGCCCTGCCCTGTCCCGTCGCCCTGCTCCGTCGCGCCGCCCTGCCCCGTCGCGTCGCCCTGTCCCGTCGCGTCGCCCTGCCCCGTCGCGTCGCTCCCGCCCTTTCCCCCGTCGCGTCGCCCTCCCTAGGCCCTAGCCCGTCGCCCTCCCTAGGCCCTGGCCCGTCGCCCTCCCTAGGCCCTGGCCCGTCGCCCTCCCTAGGCTCTGGCCCGTCGCCCTACCCTAGGCCCTGGCCCGTTGCCCTACCCTACGTTTTGGCCCGTCGCCCTAGCCCGCTCTTCCGCTGCGACTGAGTCCTCTTCCCCCCCGGTTGTTACTCGCCTGTTCGTTCGCGTTGGTTCTCACTATGGCGACTCCGCGAGTTCTTCGTTTCGACGCTGACGGTAGACCCCTTGACTTTTCCGTCTGGCTTCTTCGCGCTCGTCGTCTGTTAGAGAGTCAGGTCCAGGGGGGCGAGACCCTCTGGTCACACGCTACTGGTGACCTCCCCGAGCCCCCCGAGCCTACCGCTTTAGGCCCTGCTCCTGACGACGCTGCTACGGCTCGCTTTGCCCGTCAGCGCGCTGACCGGACGGCTTGGACGTCGCGTGACGCTGCGGCCTGCATCGCACTCAGCAGCCTCCTCCCTGAGTCCGAGGAGGCCCACTTTACTCAGGTTCGCACCGCTGCTGCGTACCTCACTGCGATTAAGGCCCGCTACTCTACTCCCGCTACTGTCTCTCTCGGCCGTCTTTTCCTCCCGTTCCTGTTTCCTGATCTTGCCTCGTTTGAGCGCTCTGCTGACTTGATCGCTCACCTCCGCTCGCTCGACGCTAGTTACCGCGCTGCTTGCATTGAGGCACAGCTTGCACTGCTTCCTCCCCCCATGGCGATTACTGTCTATTTCATCGCCACTAGCCTCCCTGACCGCCTTGCCTCCGTCCGTGACGCGCTTCTGCTGAAGCACCCTAGTGAGCTGACTATCGAGGTCCTTGAGTCTGCACTCAAGGACGTCGAGAGCAACCTTCGTTCGGTAGCTGCCGCCTCTGGTACTGTGTCCCCCCCACTCTTCCACGGGTGCACAGTCCCGCAGTTACCCACCTTCACTGCCTCTCTTGCCACTGCCGCTACTGACGCGACTGCGGCTGCTGTTACGACTGCGTCGCGGTCCCGCGGCAGGGGGGGCAAGAAAGGTGGTTCCGGTGGAGGTGGAGGCGGAGGTAGCGGAGGTAGTGGGGGTGCTGTTGCGACTGGCGGTGGTGGGAGTGTAGCGTCTGGAGAGACCCCTCGTGCAGCGGCTGGTGACTCCACTGCACCTGCTGGTGGCGGCGACCCTCGAGCTCGTCAGTCGCCTCCTGTACTGCCGGCCCCGCTAGGTGGAGCAGCGGCGTGGTACCAAGCTCAGCGTCAGCAGCCCCTTCAGCAGCAGCAGCAGCCCCTTTCCTCCCAGCAGCCTCAGCAGCAGCAGCGTCAGCAGCTGGCTCCGGGGTCGGGGCTGCGTCAGCCCCAGCGCGGTGCTGCTTACCCTCCCTGCCCCTACCAGGTTCAGACAGGTCCTCGTCGGGGCCACCCTTGTGGCCGCTTTCACCCCCCTAGTCAGTGCTTTGCTCAGCTCACTGACACGGTCCGGTTGACCTACGGGGTTGGCGGTCCTGCTCCTGACTGGCTTCCTCTGGTTCAGCGCTACGGCTCCGCTCTGTGGGGCATGTCTGCTGAGCAGTTAGTTGATCTGATTAGTGCTCCTCATGCTATGTATGCTGTTGTTGACTCTAGTGTTTCTGACTCTGTTTACTCTGGTGTTGTTAGCTTAGGTGCTAGTCTTGCTCAGTTGCCTGTTGCTAGTGTAGGTACTTGTGTAGACTCTAGACCAGCGACTACCTCAGAGGACGCTTCGCTGTCGTTCACACTGGACTCTGGAGCCTCCCACTGCTTCTTTCGGGACAGCACGACACTTACACCACTTCCTGCGCCTGTTTCTGTAGCGTTGGCTGATCCCACTACGGGACCAGTCACTGCACGTCACACTACCACTTTACCGTGTCCTGCTGCTCCCTCCGGGTCTCTCACTGGGTTTCACGTCCCCTCGTTCTCCCGGAACTTGGTGGGCGTGCGACCCCTCGTGAGTCAGCACGTGGGTGTGTGGTTTGAGCCTTCTGGAGAGACTGCGGTGTGTGTTGACGGAGACTCTTACCAGCCTCTTGCTACCTTTACTGCTGAGCCGGGCTCGGGTCTCTACACTCTTCACACTGGCCCGCGTGCGCCGCAGCAGCAGCCGCAGCAGCAGCAGCAGCCGCAGCAGCAGCAGCAGCAGCAGCAGCAGCAGCAGCAGCAGCAGCAGCAGCAGCAGCACCAGCGGCCGCACCAGCAGCCCCCCCTACTGCCACTGCCCCCGGTTCCCCCCCCCGTTCGGGTCCCCGCGTCTCACCAGGTTGCTACGTCCCCCCAGGTGTCTGTGTCGTGTCAGGTTCCTACGTCTGTTCCAGTCGCTGCGTCGTGCTCCTGCCGGTCGCTTGCCCACCCCACCGTTCTGTGGCACCACCGGATGGGGCACCCGTCCCTTCCACGTCTGCGCGCTATGTCTAGTCAGCGTCTTGTCCTAGGCCTCCCACGTGTCTTGCCGTCGCTGCCGCCTTCGCCTGCGCCGCCGTGTCGTCCCTGCGTCGAGGGTAGGCTGCGCGCCACCCCTCACTCCTCCTCCCTTCGTCCGGCCACCGAGCCTTTTGAGACGCTTCACTTGGACGTCTGGGGCCCAGCCCCTCGTCTAGGCCCTGAGCGTGAGCGTTACTTTCTGGTGGTAGTTGACGACTTCTCCCGCTACACCACAGTGTTCCCTCTGGCGAAGAAGTCTGAGGTGACTTCTACGCTGATCAGGTGGTTGCTCACCACTGAGGAGACTCGTGGTCGTCGTGTCAGCTGTCTCCACTCCGACCGTGGGGGTGAGTTTCGCTCCGGCATTCTCGCTGGATTCTGTCGCGAGCAGGGCATTCGTCAGTCCTGGACGCTTCCAGAGTCCCCACAGCAGAATGGGGTTGCTGAGCGCCGCATAGGCCTGGTCATGGAGATCGCCCGCACCTCCCTGACTCACGCCTGTGCCCCCCATTTTCTGTGGCCCTACGCGGTCAGGTACGCCGCGCACCAGCTGAACCTCTGGCCACGTGTCTCTCGACCAGAGGTTTCACCGACCAGTCTTTGGACAGGGTCCCCTGGTGTTGCGTCGCGGTTTCGTGTCTGGGGGTGCTTGGCTCTTGTCCGCGACACCTCCGCGGACAAGCTCTCGCCTCGTGCCGTCCCCTGTGTCTTCCTTGGTTTCCCTGAGGACTCCTCTGACTTCACCTTTTACCACCCTCCCTCTCACCGGTTCTTTGACTCCCGTGACGTCCGTTTCAAGGAGTCCACTCCTTACTACGTCAGGTACCCCAGTCGAGGTCTCCCGGTTCCTCCTCCCCCCCTCTTCCTGACTGCCGTTCCCCCTCCTGCTCCCCCGGTACAGCCTCCCCCCCCTGGTCCAGCCCCGTCAGGTGTGTCCCAGGCTACCCCTCCTCCTTCGGTAGCCCCTCCGGTACAGCCTCCCTCCCCACAGTCCTCCTCGCAGCGTGCCGCTGGTGCTAGCTCTCGAGAGGTTGGTGCGGTGCCTGTTCCTGTACCGGTTTCTGGTTCTGGGGGTGCTGGAGTTGGAGC